TGTAAGAGATTAATATATGATGTCTTTTATATCTGAATATTCAGCAAATTTAGTTTTAGTAACGCTGTTTTGATATATAATTACAGTTTCTACATTCATGTTAAAACCAAATTGTGATTAAAGTGCACGTTTGCCATACATAAAGTATATAGAATGCAAACACGTAACAATATATAGATATCTCAATGTATAGATCTTATTAAAACTCGTACTTATTCTTAATTAAAAAGAATGGCAGATATCACCGTTAAGTAAGCACGAATGCATTTTAATCACTAGAATCTTGGATCGCAAAAAGTTTGATTTTAAATTTATACAATTGTTAAAATTTCATCAATTAAATGGAGTTCACGAGACAATGCAATTCAGAAATCATTTTTGTATTGAAAAAATAACAAGTTTAAAAGAAATAAAAAAACAAACAGGTACTATCAAATATTGTACAAATATATATGATGTGATATCTACTTTTGTAAATAATTTTTATAAATAACCTATATATATAGATATATTATGCTGCATCAAAAGTCAAATCAATCTTCTTGCCATTCAAGCATTTGAAGTACATTCACCATTTACCCTATTTTCATGTTTCATCGTGGTTATATTCTATAATCTACGACCGTCTAAAATTTCGAAATATTAACTCGTTGAAATATATTAACCGGTTTAAAAAATAAGTAAGCAGTGTGTCCTGATTCTCAGAGTCACTAAAAACGAGTCGTAAAAAGAGTCCCTCACAGCCTAAGTAAGACTTTCACTTGAGATCTTAAGTTTGTTAAATGTTTGCTGAAGCAGGACTCGGCAATAGTGTTTTTCTAGAGTCACCTTGCGCAAATTTTCAAGTAAGACGATATATTTGTACAAATAATATAACTTTGATTTTTCCGATTACATGCTCGCGATTATTTTGTTGCCAATTCATCTATCCAAAATATTTGTAAAAAGTAACATGATATCATTGTGAGTCTTCTTATCATACTCTATATGATTCGTACATAATATCTCGCATTATGCGAGGTATGTCCTGCTAACAATTCTGTAAACATCTCATCATTCTCTACCATAAGTATTACAAAAGGAACTTTTAAGAAAAGTTTTTATTGGACAGATAGATATCAAGCTGTAAAACTTTCTCTCAGGCTGTAAAAAGTTTTATTAGTGTATATGCGCGCATGAAAGGTTTTACAGCTTGATGAAGAGTAAATATTGTAAAAGGTAAAATGGTTTACATACGTTTCAAGAATGATAAGATCTGATTGACACATATATATATATAATATGCATATCTATATTCCTGTTCATATACATATTTCATAAACTTATGAAAGTCCTCCCCCTAAACCATGCAGTGCATTTTGTTTCCTCTATTCAGTTTAACTTGAACAGTAGGTTATTTCCGTACACGTATAATGATTTCAATTTATACAAATTATACAAAGATTGAAAATGCTAAAAACATTTGCCTCTGCGAGAAATGATTCTCGATATAGACGGCATCGAACAAGATGCAAATTGCAAATTTGTTTTAACGAGTGATTTGTAAAAGCGATCGTTTTTTAGTATTTTGGCAAAAAAATATACATAATTATCCCATACGATACACGTTCAGTGTTTCTTGTCTATAAAAATTTCGGAATACCGCGTTAGCGTTCCATCTAATTGTGTAACTGATGCTTCGGATGACGCGCATAATTACATGCACAACTCGCGCCCTTTATCTCTCTTTATCTTTGTACCTACAGTCACAGTCATTGAACATCTAACACGATGATCCGCTTAATACGACTGTCGGATTGGAAATAGTAAATTCTAATCATTATGTGTAGCCCGATTTTATACGTGACTTAAATAGAGAACGGACAAGAGAGAAAAGACATAGAAGATTTCTACGATGGTTCTGTAGTGACTGTGGTTTCTGATGTACTTACAGGTGGTACCACAGTCGATTTGCACGCTGGAATAAATTCAGCTGCATCTGGATTTAGCGTACTCTGGAAATTCACATGTACAAGCGGCAATTGTTAATTACAAGGTTTAAATAAGGAATATTGTTTTTTTTTCTCTCTCTCTCTCTCTCTCTCATTAAAGCTCACTCTACAATGTGCTCTTCGTTTTCTGTTTCTTGCTTTTTTCCTTTTTGCGGTTGTTTTATCAATGATTGTGTTTCTTGTCCCTTTCAAAATTTTTCAAGTTTTTATTGGACAACAGAAAACGAAAAAATTAGACAAAAGGTGAAAAATATTAAAAAGCAAGAAACGAGAGGCAAAAACACATTGTAGAGTAGACTTGAAAGAAGAGAGACATTTCTTTAAGTACCTGCTTGGCGAGATCGTCTTGCATCCTCAGACTGCTTAGTTGTTGACAAAGTTCAGCAGCATTATTGTCTGGAGTGCCAGTAGCCGTGGACCAAGCAGTAGAACTCATATTTCTTTGATGTTGCCTCTCTTCTTCTAGCATTGCTTCTAAGCACTCCTCCATCAGTTCTTCCTCTTCCAGTTGTTGGAGCACCTGATGCCGATAGAAACGTCGAGTGTGGAGTAAAGAATAACTGTGAGAAGCTTTATATCTATGGATAAGGTACCTGCTTGTCAAACTCCTCTTCATTTTCCATCCAGAGATACTCCGAGAAGTCGCCATCGCCTATCGCTTGCACCTCAGCCTCTGTGTCGCTGTTGTTGTCCACATAGGAAGTGATGCCTGTCTCTTGACCGTAGTAAGTCCCATTTCCAGACCCGCCGTTTGGGATCTTCATTTTCATAGCCAGTGTATGTGAACGATGCGTCTGCTGATTACCTGCAAATTCTTGTTATCAGCGTCCACTCAACGTCGTCGTCGAAGATAACGTCGAGAGACTTAAAGACAATTTTATTGACACACAGAGCGCCGTGTTTCTATCGACGGCCGCTCAGAAATAAATAAACAATTCAGATAGAGAGTGTTGAAATGTGATTCTCCAAACGGCCACTCCGCTTGTAAACAAGATACTCCCTCGGGTGATAAAATCGGATTGCGCTCCCGCCGATCCCTTGACGGTCCCTTGACGATCCCTTGACGATCCCTTGACGGGCGGAGGGCTCGAGGCGACGTCGGGCGAGGGTGCCGCGCGCAACCTCGAGCCGGGACGCGGAGCAGCCTTGGATCAACAAATTGCGATCCTCGGATTTTCGCACATATGGGAACGGCGACCCGCCGATTCGGCTTTTGTAGCGATTCCTTGGTACCCCCCGGAGTGTTTACCTGAAATTTGGCGGCCCGGCGGCAAAAGACAGTTCGGTGTCGCTCTGTCTTTCTCTCTCTCTCTCCCTCTCTCTTTCTCTCTCTCTCTCTCTCTCCCTCGCTTCTCTCGCTAACGGCGCATAGCGAGAACGCACGGCGCGAGAATTGTCCTAGTCACTTGACAGATGAGGTCGCACGGGCGACCATATTTGCGAGCGCGTATCGTACTCGTATCGTATCGAAATCGGTCGGATTGGCACGTCTCTCTCGCGCTCTCGCTATCCTCTCTCTTTCTCTCTCTCTCTCTCTCCCTTTCTCGTTCCCCCTATTGTTTATCGAACGACGGTTGGCCCGGATTACCCTCCCGAGGAATAACGGGGAGACGGCCGCGTTTTCCCATCGAACTTGGTCACTCACGCGGAACATACCTTACCTTCTTCTGTGATAAAAGGGTCCTCGGACTCGCTCCACGTCCTCGTCCACCTTCCCGTCGATCGTTTGTGGTCGTTACGCGAAATATGCGCGTGATTTACGCAGTTCACGGACACGTACCGAAATACGTGTCGTTCAACGCAAATTAGCGATCGCACAGTGCTGCCACCGGCGTTGTTGTTAAAATCCGCAGCAGGAGCGCTGGTAAAACTCCGATTACTCCGAATTTTCACCAGTGGACCGCCTATCGCGGATGTTCGGGTACTTCGGGTCCCGAGGATCATGGTGTACACCATGCCGAGGATTATGTCGCGAGAGATGACGAAATCGCCGAAGAACGTCTGTCGATAAATCGGAAACGCGAGGCTGCTTGCTTCGCGAAAAATAAAAATCACTTAAATGTTGATTAATTCCGCCGACGTCTTAATTTTATCGATTTTGCGACGTACTTATAATATGAGAAAAAAAAAAATTAGTGAAATAACATTTAATTCAAAAATTGCACAAAAAAATTTTATAGGAAGAATTTTACATTGAATTCTATGTAATAAAATAAATATATTTCAATTAAATTATTTAAATATAATTTATATTTATTCAAAAATAATTTTTAAATATAATTAGAAATAGTTATGGTAAATATATATATATATACATAAAAATTTTACATTTGTATGTGTCACTAATCTCTTGTGTTTATTAATTAGGTGATGTATTTAAGTATTTATTGTACATACATCTACGATTTACAATGGCATTTTCTATTTATTGCTACTTACTTATATATAACATTATCTCTCTCATACTCGGTAGAGTTATTATTACTACTATTTTCGCAACGAAGAGTAATCCAATTGTAACGCTAATTATAGCCGTACAACGAACGATGGGAGAAGAATAAATACGGAGTTTTCGTGGTGCCTTTATCCCGACAGATGTCGGCCCCGACGACAAATCGCGGTAGACGATCGAAGCGATCTCGAATCGTCGCTCGGAGCAATTCCTCCTTTTTTTCCTTTTTTTTTCTTACGCGGGAGGGGAATGACATTACGTTTAGTTCTCGAAAGTACGCGCGGCGGTGAGTCGCGCGACGCCGTGACGGCGCGTGGGATTGACGCACATAGTGCGCGTCGCACGCGAATCGTCGCGTCGACTCACGCTGTCTATTTACACCGCGGCGCGACGTGATTGGCCCAGAGCGGCCAAAGAGACGGCTGGCGCAGCTGACACATGCGCGTGCCGACGTGCGTCAAAACAAAGCACGGCTGCGCTGCCATCCCGGCAGCATTTTATCGCGATTGTCCGTAGCGGCAGGTTGTATCGTCGCTCGTCGTTGTGAACGTCGTCAGCGTCCCGTTTCGCGCACATACGTTTTACGTGGGTTTCTGCGTCTCGTTTCTGGTGCTCGCTCGCGCCCCTTAGCTCCGTCTCTTTCTATTTCCTCATCGCGAACGACTGCTCCCACGAGTGCCACACACGGCGCATCGTACGGCGATGTCGTCCTCGGCGAAGTACACGTCGGACGAGCAACTGAGCGGTAAGTAAAGCGCAAAAAACTGGAAAAACCACGCACGCCGCACCGATTGTTAGATGCGACGGCCATTTCGCGCGATGTGTCCGCCCACCCGCCCGCCCGCCTCTCGTCCTCCTCCACCTCCTGTAAAGCGTAAACAAACGCACTTCATTGCCGATGTTGCTCCGTCCGTTTGGAGCGTCGGCGTCGAGGAGCGGCTGTCAGATTCGACCGATGCCTCGCTACCGTTCAATGACATCCTTGGAGAGCAATTGTTCCTCCGATAAACTTCCGCTTTCGTTCGTCATCTGACGATCTCGGTGGATCTCTCCGAAAATCGGAGCAACCCGTTGGATCACGCCGAAATAAATTGGCGCGACGCGACGCAGTTTTGGCGCCATTTCGGGCCTACCTTCGACACGCCGCGTCGCGCCCGGTGCAAGATTCAATTTTTCATGTCTCGCGCGCGCGAATCGATACTTCACCCCGGCCGGAGCTTCGCGTGAAGTTGCACGGGGAACGAGGCGAAGCGGACCAAGCGAAGTACGCCGGATTTCTAAAGTCCGATCGCACGCTTCTCATGGAAGTAACAATGCCTGCCTCCCAACACCTCCTGATTCAATTTTTTTCTAATTTCATGTAATTTTTCTTGTATATTCTACATTCTCAATATGCTCTTTTTATGTTTTCTTCTGGTTTTTTTTTTTTTTTTATAAGCAGCCCCCTTGACGTCTGTTTTTCTATAGAATCTAATTTTTTCTAATTTTATTAAATTCTTTTGGACAGTCTATATTCTCGATACGTTCGATCCACCCTTTTCTACATTACCTTCAGTTATTTTTTGATTTTTTTTTTAAAGCGTTACAGAATAGATTCTAGATTCATTATTTTCTTTATAGTATTGTAGAATGTTTTGATCCCAATTTAAGCGAATAAACGTGCCAAATATCTTTTATCGTATGTTTTAGTCTGCTTCCTTTGATATACGTATAAGCGGAGTATAGATAAAATATTTGTGGTTAACAATGCGATTAATCGTGCTATATTTATTCGGAAATAAAAATAGCACGGACATTCTCGGAAATGTTCAATGATAACTGTATTATAATCGCAGATCAAAGACTTAATTATTTTCTGCACATAAATAATGCATTATTTCCGTTTTTTCTTCCGCATTTTCTGAACATTGTGATAAAGTAAGATATGAGCTGAACATTTCAATATATGTGTTAAAGGAGTCGTGGATTATCAATGATCGCAAGAATCTAAGAGCGATGGCTTGTGCATGAGAAAAAAATACTAAATTTTGATAAATATTTATTTCAAGTGCCAACTAAATATTTACTTACAGTAAATAAATATTTACTGTATTTCTTAAAAAAATATTGTTAAATCAAATTAATTCTTGATAAAGCGATTTTGCTAAAGTATTTAAAAATTTAGCTATTGTGACAAATCTGAAAATAATTTTGTTGAATCGTCAAAATAATTACGAAAGAAATTTCAAATGCGATGAGCAAAAAGTTTTAACATTCTAGCAATTAATTTGAGGATCCTACATAATTATTTCGATTTAACGAATCTAGCTAAATTTTTAGATACTTTAGCAGAATGACCTTTCTATGTTTATAAAATAAATATATTTTTATGTTGTATAAATATTTAATTAGTACTTGATTTAATTAAAAGAAAAAGAAGCTTGATAACAAACTCACGAAATTAATTCCATAGTTAAAATTGCGCGCTTCGCATAAAAAAATTTCCGTAGACACCTGCCAATATTTTTTACAATTTTTTACAGGCTCGTAATATGACTTTATAATTTCCTCAGGAAACTTTAGAGATTGCGAGGAAGCCAATATTTCTGTGGTTATTCTTTTACAGTAGAAGCGGTCAGACGATCTATTAATAATTTAACGCATGCCGGTATAAATAATCTAAAAAATATGCGGGACTTTGTAAACAACTTTATCATTTTTGTAATGATTTCTACAAAAAATAATTTAATCAATACGTTTTCTTCATATATTCTTTGTTCTGCTCCCCTGATTTTAAATTTCAAGCCGTAATTGCTAACAAGGGATCATCTCGGTTTGTACAACAAATTAATGAAAATCTTTGATATCAGTAAAAGTTGACAGTATAAGATGTAAATTAAGGAAAAAGATAAGAGCGTATAGGTCATAGGTTCCAATAAGAAATTTAATGTTATAGTGCATGGTAAAAGTTCTAGAATGGCTATATCTCAAAAAATAAGCAATAAGAATTTTACTGGACCGTACATTTGAAAATTCAACAATAAGAAGTGCAAGTACATATATAGTATGTATAGTAATTCAGATTGAATTATTTAAATATTTAAAGATTTAGTTTTGACCGTTACTTCCACTTCTTATTGTTGAATTTTCAAATGTACGGTCCAGTAAAATTCTTATTGTTTATTTTTTGAGATATTAGCCATTCTAGAACTTTTATCATGCACTATAACACTAAATTTCTTGGAACCTACGACCTATACGCTCTTGCCTTTTTCCTTAATTTACATCTTATGCTGTCAACTTTTACTGATATCAAAGATTTTCATTAACTTGTTGTACAAACCGAGATGGTCCCTTGTAAGATCATTATACCGAGATTACCGAGATAACAAAATCTTTCCATTTCATTAATTAAATTTCATCTCTGCTTTTGTTAGAATCTTTTTTTAGAATCTTTTAATAGTATCTTTTAAGTCGAATTACGTAGAGTGATCAATTTATCGATTAATTTTAAATTGTTCTCGTTACTCGCTTTGCCACGCGAATCTTTCTCACATGCGAAAGCCACTTGAATCGGGCACGCGTATATACTTTTACTACTGCAATCTTTATCTCTGTTTGTTTTGTAAAGTGTCGTCTGGTCGATAGCCCTGACGAAAAAATATATAAGCACGTGCATTCAGCTCGTGATCGCATCGCGATCCTATCTGTTTCTTCTCCGCTACCACGCGTCTTTTCTCGCTTGTGTTGAATTACGAGTTACATCTTTTTAACGTTAACAATAGCCGGTGTCGTTCTCGGCGATATGAATCGCGAGGTGAAATAATGTTTTGCAAAATGTATCCGAGACGCTATGAAGACTGCGACGCTAAATTTATCCGCGGCTCGGATTACGGCCTCCAGTTTCCCTCGTCGTATTACGAGAAATTAGACACCGTCTTTGTAATTTCTGGATTTCTTTATTAACGTTGTAAAATAATTTTCATCTATTTTTTTATTTCTGTGTAAACTTCTATTCTGCTTTTTGCACGTGAGTTTATATTGAAAAAAATATTAAATTTTAATAAATATTTGTTTGAATAGTTCTAAGTAAATATTTATTAAATACAAACATATATTTATTTGATACAAAAAATTATTCATTTGATATAATTACCATTTTTTAAAATAAATATTTTATTTATTTGCTGTAAGTAAACATTTACTTGATATATTCAAAGAAATATGCATTAAAATTTAGTAAATTTTTTTTCTGTGTATTCGACTGCAATGCTGTTTTCGCAGACGTCTAATAGTATCTCCACTGCGTGATTTATTCGCGTATATTCTGGCTCGCGGAAATCGTCCATAAATCATGTATGGCTCGTATGACCTATTAACACGGCAAAGTATTCAACTCCGGAGGCAACCAAGTAAATCTCGTACCGAAATGAATAGTGAGTTATTTCAAAGCGAATTTAAAAAAAAATCTTTATTGTTTTTCAGAGAGATGGAAGTCGAAGAGAATGAAAATGTAAAACAGCATATAAAGTTTTTTGCTTCTTTTTCGGAATTATTGCAAGCATTTTTGATATTCTAAAAATAATCGTCTCTTTTGCCTTCTTTGACTGCTGGGTCATCGACGCGAATAGAATTGGGTCAGCGTCCTGCGAACTCGCGTGGCCCGAGTGTTCTATTTAAATTGGACGAACCCTAATGAGTACGTCGCTCGGTCAAGATCAGGGCCGTATCTGTCACAATGAATGTCGTCGTCACGTCTTTCTCGTCGTTAATTGAAATCTCATAACGAGATAACGTGTTGTGCGCAGCAGAACTAATAACATCGACAATCTAACGCTAGAACGTTCAATGCCACGCTTGATAAAAAAATAATGTTACAATACTTGTTATCTAAATTATCGGAGCAATATCAATTTAGATAGTTTAGATATTAATAATAAGTATCGTTATGTTACTTTGTGATCAAGAATGGCATTGAACGTTCTAGCGTTAAATTACCGTTATTACTAATTCTGCGGTATATGTTAAATTTACTGATAAAAAAGTTAATTTTAACCATTTCTATTGGTTGCCACTGCTCCAATTCAATATGTCATTAATTTAACTGAAACAATGAAGTTGAACGATTTAACTGAAAAAAATGTATTAAGTTTGACTCAAGTTTAGTTTATTATTTATTAAATGTATACATTAATCTCAAATTTAATTTATTATTTACTAAATGCATACATTAATATGACGTTGTTTACTTTGAAACGCTTTGAAAGTATAACCACACAAATTAATGAATTGATTTACATTTTGATTTACATACATACATGGTAGTTATAAATAACGAAATATTATTGAATTTAAGAGATTGATTTATTATTGGTCCTGAAATCTAAATCGTAATTGCTACAGCTCATTATATAATGAAATAACCGCAGAATTTCTGAACGATTTTAGAAAACGAAAAAATATCGAAATCTACTCTCTTTTTCTGTCCGTACTTTTTAATTTGCAAAGTGTAGCCATAAATAAGGCCCGATTTTTCATTTTCTGATTAACTTGTGGTTTAGACTTAACTTGATGATAATGTAAAAGTTGTGTTTTTCTAGCTATGGTTCACTAAATTAATAGTTTTGTAGTGGTAATTTTAAAAGTACTATAAAAAACATACACCATCAGTTTAGTGATTAACCATATCTGTAGAAAAACACAATTTTTACATTGTCAAGTTAAGTCTAAATCACGAGTTAATCAGAAAATGAAAAACTGGGCCTA